TACCCTGCTCAACTAATGTTTAAATCCACCAAGGTAAAAGTGCATCATACATCATAAAATTGGGATCTTTTTTGTATCTTAGATTCAAGAACCCCAAAATTTTGATGTTCTTCATGCATTTTTTGATGTCATGGATGAAAAAGTCAGAATCTTGATTTTTTTTTTCTGTTTGTAGGGTTGAAATAAAAAGTGATAAGCTTTAATAAAGGATTTGAGAGAATGAAAATCTTTTCACTCTTGTGTGCTCAAAATGGGACTTGAGTTTGAACCTGATTTACGGATAACTCTCATTACTTCATATGCAAAATTTAGGCATGTTACGATTGCAAAATCATTATTTTATGAAGTGGAGGTATCTAATGTGATTCTAAATTCATGATAATTTATTTTTGTTCTCAAAGCTATCGAATGTTGGGCTCCTTGGTTCGGGTAGTGATAAGTTATGGCATGGAGGACCTCAAGTTCTAATGGTAAATAAATTTATTGTTACTTTACAAATATTGAACGAGTAATTGATGTCATAATAACAAATAAATTTCAATTCTTTTGGTTTTGAAGAGCAGTGGACTTCTTGGTGAAGCTGTTTTGTAACTTAAACAACATCAAGATTGATCCATGCAACAAGCTTGCAATCCACCTAATTATCCTTAGATTATTGTTGTAAACACTATTACCGTTTAAAACAATTATATTATTTTATGTTTAGACACTTATATTATGTTTGTTTTTAAACATTTGTTTAGAAGTTGATTGTAATGCATAATATTTTGGATTTATGTTTATTGTGTTTGTATATAAACTTCAAATAGAATTTGGTCATTTGTATTAGATTTTTTTTTTCTACATTTTGGGCAGAAAAAAATATGGTTTTTTGTGTTTATTATGATTTTTTTTTTTAAAAAACTCAGGTTTCCTCGGTAATGCGTAGGAAAATCTATTATAGAAGTGTCACTAAAAAATTGTTGCGAAAACTGTCACAATAAATACTTCCTAGGAAATTCCTTGGAAAAGTATTATACAAGGAAATGTCTCGGAAATATATTTCCTAAGAAATTCCTCGGAAATAAATTTCCTAGGAAACTTCTCGGAAAAATATAGCCTCGGAAATTCCTCGGAACTACCGACAAAACATATCTCCTCGGAAATTTCCTCGGAAATCCCTTACAAAAAATTTCCTAGGAGGGTTTTACCTACACACAACTTTTCCTCGGTATTTCCTCGGAAACACCGGTTTCCTAGGAATTTCCGAGGAAATTGTCCCTCGGAAAAGGCGTGTTTTTTTAGTAGTGTTTTAATAACCAATGGAGAACATTTATTCGGAAATAGTTTTACGAGACAAATTCTGGTATATAAAGAATACTCTATTTTTAAAATAAGCATAAATAAAAAGGTCTTTTCCAACCGTAAAAATGGAGGTGTCACAGTTTCTCTCTCTAATCGTTGAAGGCTAAAACCATAACCGGGTTCGTTTCCTTTTTTGTTTCTTTGAATGTAACTATTTTTCCTATTCAAAACCAATTTACGCTTCAATTTTGGAAAATATTATTTGTTTTTTGTTTTAATTTTAGGATTAAGGATACAGACTTCACAACAAGAAGACTCACACCCCCTGCTATTGGTGTCTTTTCTGATCACAAATTTGTAAGGCATCTTTGTTGGAGGAAGCTAGTCATGTAACAGGTAACAGTGTAAGGTTTAAATGTGTTTTTGATCACAAAGTGATTCGAACTAAAAAAATACATCTTTTTTCATAAGTGAGTATGAATTTGTTCCTATCTCTGATGTCTTAATTAACATCATTTAATGCTTTTTATACTCAGGATTACTCTATTTTACTTCAAATTTTGCTGCATAAAAGTATCTATCTTCATATCTTTGATGTTTTTAAGGTACATGTTGTTGGGGAGGTTGATACGGTAATGATACGTATACTTTGTCGATCGGATGCCAGATAGAATCTATGGAATCTACAGTTTCCGGATTCATTTACTGTCATTTTATGAAAATTTGTTAAAAACAATATAGTTTGTCATTTTATGAAAATTTGTTAAAAACAATATAGTTTGTTGATTTGTTTCTAATTGATAATGTTATTAAAGAAAATGTCAGGGTCAACATTTATGTCATTTAGAGTAGGATTTTGCTAAAAATGTTTTTAATAAAATAGTTTTTTATGAAAATATCATAATCTATTGCAACAAAGATGTGACTATTGACACAATTCTTTGGTGTTATGCTTGGAAACAAAAATGAAGTTTAACGGGGTTGTGCATTGGTTGTGATATATAAGTGGGCTAGATGATCGCATCTTCATATATTATACTGATCATGGTGGTCTAGATGTGCTTCGTAAGCTTCTTTCTCTTACCAGTTCATGTGCCCTTCGGTTCTTCTTTAAACTAGATCAGTTTGCTTATTTATTTTTTGGTAGTGTGATTATTCACTTCATTTATCTTGACTACCATGATGGCATGATCAATATAATATATAAATATATTTTTTATTTATCGTTCCAGGATATGGATCTTGCCTTATCCATCATATTCTCTTTCTTCTCATTCTAAAACTTGAGATGAACATTGAAGAAGAAGTTAAATTGGTGCTTAAGCTCTCTAATAAAAACACCAATAAAAAGAATGTGGTCTATGGAAAAGTAAGTGTAAATATTTTTGAATTTTTTTATTCATATTTGATGTATGTAAAACAGGTTAAACAATTGTAGTACTTACTTTCCGCTAAAATTTATTTCCAGGAAGTCGGTATGTGAAGATCGAATTTTTAGAAAAAGGTTTATGATTCATAATTGGGATAACTTCCAAAGCTGAAAAGATATTGGTAATTCCACAAACCTTGGAATTAATGGAATCATCCATAATTATTGGAGTCGGTTCGTCCTCTTAAGAAGACCAAAGGAATTACATTGTTATAGATGTTCTTTATTTGATTGATATTTTCTATTTCTTTTGGCAGAGAGTTGTCAAAAAAGATCTAGGTCTATCTATGATTCATCTTATTAATGGTTGACAATATTCTAATTGATGTCTCTCTAATGATATGCGTTATGGGGTTAAAGCAGATTCTGAGGGAACCAATTAATTCTAGAATAATATTGAGCACCAGATTTTGTTTATTAGTTTACACTCCTCATGAAGAGTCAAGATTCTTTTGGTGAAACCCTTTTAATAACCATCTTTGAACCCAAAATCCGAACGTCCAGATTGATCAGAAGTATCGACCGGATTGCCAGTGTGGGGCACGATCGATCCATCACCATCAAGGTGTCTGGATTGGTCCGTTGAAACTGTTGAGGTAATGATTTTGATGTAAGTTGACTGGAGTGGTCAAAGGCTTTGATCAGTCTTGTCTAGGGCTGTAAACGAAATGAACGTTCGGCGAACCGTTCGTGAACTGTTCGGCGGGAAGTTCGTTTATTTAATAAATGAACGAACATGAACAAAAATTATCGTTCGTTTAGTTAAATGAACGAACATGAACAATGATCTCGTTCGTTCATTTATGTTTGTGAACGTTCGTTTATGATGTTCGTTTATGTTCGTTCGTTTAAGTTTATTTATATTCATTTATATTCAATTTTTTTATTATATTGCTATATTATATGTTCGTTTATGTTCATATATGTACATATATGTTCAATTGTGTTTTTTTATCTTTGTTCGTTTATGTTCATTTATGTTCGTTTAGCATGTTCACAAACATAAACGAACGAACATGAACAATGTAATTTGTTAAACGAACGAACATGAACAAGAAAATCTCGTTCGTTTATCCGTTCGTGTTCGTTTGTTGTTCGGCTAACTTAAACGAACGAACATGAACAAGACCTTGTTCGTATTCGTTTGGTTCATTTACAGCCCTAGTCTTGTCTGCTAATTGGACGAGACTTCTCTTCTGAACAACTCTATCGGTCTACAAAAATTACATCTTTCAACATTATTATTTAAGAAATCGTTTCAAATATTCCTATAAAATTTATTTATTATTTAGTGATTTCCTTTAAAATATTATAAATAATTATGAATTATGCTATTTTACTTTGTAAACTCATCCATGAATTAGGGCTGTTCATTATTTGGTTAAAACCGAATTGTTCAATTGGAAAATTTGGATTGGACTATTTGGTTCAGATATTCGGATTTTTGTATTGATTTTAAGCTAAACCGAATTATTATTTTGGATTTCAGATTTGTTTTGGTTTATAAAATACGAATCGAATAGTCCAAAAAAACCGAATAACAACTTATTTTTTATTTTTAATATATATCTTTAATCATTTATAAATTTACTAAATTGTGTTTTTAATTATTAGAACTTTTATCCAATATAATACATTAATATGTACTTCTTATCAAAAGTTTTTTGTCAATGAAATATTAAACTATAATCAATTTTTCTTAATAATTGTTTATAAATTACTATTATTCAAAAATAAAATGGTTTTTTTAGTTAGTTGGCTACTATTTAAGTTATATAATTTTTTAAATGTCTTGCCTCTTAAAAACTGAATTGTAAAAACCGATCCAACCGAATTGTAACTTGGTTGGATCGAATCGGATGAGAATTTAGCTTGTACTATTTGGATCCATGTTTTGAAAACTGAATTCTATTTGGATTTACTTGATCGGCTCAGATCAAACCGATCCATCCAAACGAACACCCTACCACGAATGGATGAAAGAAAACTTGTCAAATGAAAAACAATGAGTTCGACTAAAAAAGATTTCTAGGGAAATGCTACATCTCATTTCCCATGTTAATTGGCGAATCTATTGTTATAACAAAAGAAATCTTGTACATGCAAGTATAAAACTTTTGTATACAACATAACTTAATCAAAATTTCTTTGATGGGTATGCACATTGTAACACACTCTTCTATCCATTTAAAGCACACAACCAAATCGTTTTTGAAATCGAAAAAGACATACATGTGAAACAAACAACATGAATTTAAACAAATTTTTTGAATAAATGCAAATACTAATCCCGATATCATGTTTGTAACCTCAATGAAATGAAACTTAAAGTGCAAAAATTCAATACAAACTATGATGTGAATCATAACAAATTTATTTGATTCCTTTCGACCTCTTAGCACATATATAGTTTCTTGATCTTGAGCCCTACCACATCATCGAAAGGTTTTGTGCTTGTCTCAATCTTCATAATCTCATCAATTTGACTTCTTATTAGCACCCATGGCGAAGAATTCTGTAATGACTTCAAGTGGCATACCCTTTGTTTCAGGCACTTTGAAGTAAACAAAAAACCATGAGATGGTACATACAACCGCATAGATTCCAAAAGCACCCTGAAGGCCAATGGTGGTGAGCAGCACTGGAAGTGTGTAAGTGACTATAATGTCTCCGACCCAAAAGGTAAGTGCACAAATGGCGATACAAAGGCCTCTCACACGCGTTGGGAAGATCTCTGAGCAAAGTGTGTTGGGGATTGGTCCAAAACCCATGACGAATGTGCAAAAGTAAACTACAACACTAATGGTGGAGATAACTGCATGGGTTACTGAATCCATGTGAATCATATTGCTCAAAACTAGTACAATGAGTGATGTCAAAAGAACCGGTAGTGTAGCTAGGAGCAACATCCTGAGAAAAAACGATGAAAATGATTCATTTTAGTAATTTTTTTTGTAAACTAGTATAGGCAAACTCATAACACTAAAGGATCTATTAATTTTGCTACATTTCATTCTTTTAATTAGGGTTGTTTGGTAACTTTTGAATGGAACCATTCGGACGACACTCTGAATTGTTCAACATTCATGTCGTTTGTTGCAGCATCTGAACAAGTCCAAAGTTTGCCTCTGAACGATTAAGCAACATTACATCTCTTAACCATTAAGAGGTCGGAACCATTTAGCTCAGCATTCATTGCAATTTACTAAACAACCCCTTAGTCTAATGTCCAATTACTCTCGGGTCAAGAAAACCAAAGTTAGAAGATCATAAATACAAGGGGTTAATGCAAATAATAGCAATGCACTTCTGTTCATTTGTTTATTATAGAATCATGCTTTCATTTTATTCTATTACTTCTTTGTATTTTATTTTGTTTTTCCTTATGAAGAGATTGTACTTGAAATAAATCTAGCAATTTTAGCACTGAAATTACAATTTTTATGAAGACTTTTACTTTTATAAATCTACCTATTATAACATTGAAAATTAATTTGTAAATTGGATAACAATTCTATAAAGTGGGTCGATTTAATAAAGCATAATGTTATAAAATGGGTCGATTTTATAAACAAATATTTGAAAGTGTGTTGTTATTTCTAGCATTTAATCCTTCTTTTATAAGAGAAAGAACTTACCTTCGGCCAGCTACATCTATAAGCCTCATGGCGATACCAATGCTAGGAAGCATCAATAAGGTTGTGACACCGCTAATGAGAAAAGAAGCCGATTCAGAACCAATTCCCATGCTAGACAAAAGAATTCCTACCCCAGCTTGTTCAAGAATTTGAGGAGTGTAGTACAAAACTCCATTTATACCAGAAAACTGTTTAAAAAAAATCCGTTTATAAATACATATTAAAACTAATTAAAGATAGAAAGACATCGATTGATCACCTGTTGAAGTATTTGAATCCCTACACCAACAATCAACGCTTGTTTAATACCAGGCTCTGAAAGCTCCGACCAACTTGTGCCCTTTTTAGCAGACGGCGGCGGCTTGATTGTACCTGTCTGAATAGGGTTTTCTCCGGTGACATTGTCTAGACAAAGAACCGATCGACTCACAAGAGCCGACGCACGAACAGCCTCACCATCACCACCACCACCGACACCAAGTGCAGCAATTGACCCACGTCTAGATTCAACGGCGGCGCCGCCCTCCTGGTGCAGGTAGATCCTCTTAAGTCCACCGGATTTCTTCCCATCGTCGGTCTTTTTGTAAGCCAGCTGCCATCCACCGCCAATCCCCATGGCGGCGGTTGTCTCATTAGCGTTGTTCAATAACATACTACCCCTTGAAGCAGGGGCACCCACGTCTCTTTCTGTTGCTTCACGAGATAACAATGGACTCTTCAAGTTATTATCATCATCATCATCTGACAAATTACCCTTGTCGTGATTGCTCTCGACATCCCAGTTGTCTGTTTTATGGTGTTCTTGAGCGAACATGCTTCCGAAATTTGGAAGAAGCATACTTTTCATACTTCCATTTTCGTTTTGTTTCTCGTGGACACTTCCGAATAGAGTCACCATCGGATCCATCATATGTGCTGTCACACTTCCTTGACGTGAAGCTAAGACTAAAGAGCTTTGGCCCCTCACAGGTTTAGCCACCCATGATTGACCTTCTTCTGCTCCATATAACTTGATCTGATCTTTCTCTTCAACGTGATCTTCACTAAGCTCGTTATCAGCCCCGATGACGTACTCTTCTACTGACGTTTCAGTTCCTCCCACTTCTAGACCTTCAACTAGTAACGCCATTTCTCCTGTGAAAAACAAAACCCTCCACATAAATTAAGTTTAACTGTTTTCAATTTGTTTCTAATATCAATTTATTTTTATGTTTAAAAGTCTCTATACTTTTACAAAATCTACCCAATGATAACATTGTACTTTCTTTTTTTTCATATCAGAATATTATATTTTGAAAAATCTTTCCAATTATAGCAAAATAAATAAATAAAGGGGTTAAGTTCAAGAAACAACAATATACTTTGATTAATTTGTTTATTATAGCATTTTGCTTTTATTTTTTCATCTCACAACATTATACTTTGAAAAAGCTATGGTTATAGCAATGTAATTCAAATACAAAGCCGTTTTAACTGCTATAACTAGATAGATATTCTTAATAAATAATGTCAAGAAGAAAAATGAAAGTGTACTCCTATGATTGGTATATTTTCTGAAGTGTGATACTTTATTAGGAAATAACTTAAAAGTATAATGTTCTAATATAACTAAAAAAAGTAGAATAACATAATACAAATAAATAAAAGTACGTTGTTACTTTTTTGCACTTATACGTGCAAATTGCTTTGTATTTTGATAAAAATAATTGCTATAATATGAAAATGCATATTTCTCACTACCATACATATTCTGGTAGAAAGAAATGAAAGCATGATGCTACAATAAACAAATCAAACAAAAATACATTATTATTTCTTGCATTCATCCATAAAGATGTTCTAAAATTTTACTTTAAAATTCATAAATTAGATAACTTTAACCCCCAAATATCTTTTTGTAAATTGTCCCCCTATTTGCATATACCTTTGCTACTACATAACGATGCTCAAATGAGTTCAAGAAACAAACCCGATACATCTTCTTTGCCACGAAGCCACTGGAGGACAACTTTAGCCTCATCCATCTTCCCTTTACTCACCAACCATCGAGGAGATTCAGGCAAGAAAAACAAAGTTAAAAGAAAGTACCCAACAGAAGGTAAAGAGAGGACCCCAAGCATCATTCTCCAACTGGCATCGGATTTTAATGACATAATGAATACCATAGTGTACGCTAAACACATTCCAATACTACCCGTGAACTGTGGAAGTGTATTCAACAGTCCTCTAATGTCTGATGGGGCTGTTTCAGAGATATATAAGGGCACAAGTGTCACAGCCAGACCTATCCCGAACCCATCAAGAAGTCTTGCTATTAGCAAAACGTAAACATTTGGAGACCAAAACATTACTAGACCACTAGTGAAGTAAAACATTGAAGAAATTATAAGCATTGGACGCCTTCCGATGTTGTCTGATACAGGTCCTGAGAATGTTGTGATAACTGTTGCACCGATTAGTGACATGGCTACGATTAGCCCTTCGATTGTTGGTTGTGTTTCTAAATGGAATTCCTTTTTGATGTAAAGAACAGCTCCTGCATGCATGCATGCGTGTACTATTAGGTTACGATGAACATCATGGATTTATAAACGAAATGATGAGGTTATATAATACGTACCTGCAATTGTGGCATTATCCCATCCTTGCAACATGTTGCCAATGGCGGCAGCAATTGCTACATACACAGCTCCCTTCGACGACATCTTTGCTTTTTTACACAATAAAGAACGGATTCTTCAAAGATTTGGGTTTGCTAAAGAAACAAAATCAGAAGTACAATCAAACGATTCCACGAAAAAGAATAAAATTCTAATATAGTGTAGAAACTCAAAAGGGTACCTCAAGAACAGATGAGTACTGAGGGATTTCAGCAAGTTATATATGGCATCCCCATGATGATCTTTACGAGAAAATGCAATGAAACAATTTTTAGGGCTGTTTGAATTGCATCAAACTCACCTGTGAACGATCATATTTAAATAAATATATGTTCATAAAGATTCAAAGAAGAGGCAATTCAGGCAATGCTGGTCTAGTGAAGCACATGTATGAGAAGTCCCATCAGAGATCTACCCACATGATCGTAAAGGAAGAAACAAAAATGGAAAATTTGGTGTGAAAAGTTGTGCTTTTTTTGATTTGTTAAGAGTGAAGATGAGAGAGAGAAAGAGAGGGGGAGATATGGGGGGAGAAAGAAGAGGGATGAACTTCTGGTCCCTGGTCGTAACAAATACCAGTTCTTGAGGGGTTACATGTGGAGTCCGACGAACATGGTATGCATTGGTGAATGATGATGTGTAATAATTTCATCGAGGTTAAAGGGTCCTACCTTTTCATATGGAGATCCTAAATTTAATCATACCTCTCACATAATTAACATGGAAATGGGACGACACATCTCATGGGGAATTAAGAACAAACGTCCAATTTGTCCTTTCGCATTCATATTTAACTAAACTATGTATTAGATAATCATGTATTGAGTTATTATTATTATTATTATATATATATATATATATATATATATATATATATATATATATATATATATATATATATATATATATATATATATATATTAAAGATGTGGAAGAAAAGAATAGTAAATTTGGGATACTTTGTCCAGGTTTGGTCCCTTGATTTACATATCCGGTCCCTGTATTTCTTTAATTAATTTATTCATGTCCTTTTGTTTGTGTTCCATTCAACTTCTCATTTTTTTTGGCAGAATTGGTCCCTGTATTATTGTTGGGTTTGTGTTCCATTCAACTTTCCATTTTTTTGGCAGAATTGGTCCTTATATTATTGTTGGAAGTTAGGAATACTAAATTTGGATGTTTTTTGCAACTTTGGTCATTATTCTTTACCCATTTTGACACTTTTGGTCCTTGCAATCAATATTTTTACACTTTTTTGGAACCTTTTAATATTTAAAGTTTGGCCACAAAACTTTAACGGTTTGACAACTTTGATCCCTTTTCTAAAAAGTTGCTAATTCCTACCCCTTTAATTCTTTAGCTATTTTCACACTTCTGGTCCTTGCAGTCAAAACTTTTACATTTTTTTTCCGGGGCAAAGCCCAGACTTTTCATCCTTGTACTTTCTATGTTTGTCATATTTATCAATTCGGAAACAACATTGAAAACTTCTGGCCCCCGCGTAGCGGGGGTAACCTTTCTAGTTTATATTAATATTGTATTTATCCTAAATATTGTATTTATCCTACTCCTTTGATATAGGAGTATTTGTTGTATTCTCTTATGGGAAATCTTTAGAAAAGTCTCATTATTTTGGGAAAAGTTACATTTAAGTCCTAAATTTTTTTTTGAACAAAAAAACCCAACAAACCAAATAAACCTTACACTTTAATCCTTTTTGACCTGCCGATCAGGTCACCTATGCCATGTGGCATGCCAGCTGGACAAGGGCTGATGTGGCATGCACATCAGCTTTTAAATGCAAAAATAGGACTTTATTTAGAAAATGAGGCGGGTGGGATTCGAACCCACCACCTCACACATACAGCCAAACACATTTTCCACTAGGCTAGACACCATTTCTTGATTTCATCCCTTAAAGTTTATATATAATGTATTAAATGTTGAAGCTTTTCATTAAAAATGAGAAGAATGGGATTCGAACCCACAACCTCCCACTAACAATTCAAACCACTTTTCACTAGGCTATCATCTTTTTATTGATTACTTTCCTCAAATTTAGATATAATCCCTTAAAACGCTGAAGCTTTTATTATTATTATTATTATTATTATTATTATTTAAAAACGTAAATATATATAAAGTTCGAAAAAACAGTAATATATATGTAAACTTCGAAAAAAAAAGAATTACATTTATTATTTCTATTATTATTAATTAATATATTATAATTATTATTATTAAAAATGCACACATTTATAAATGTTTTTACATATAATATATTTTTCTACATATAATCACGATTTTAAAAATTAATAGTGATTATATGTATTTTGTAAAATTAAAAACGTATATATTACTGTTTTTTTTCGAAGTTTATATATATTTACGTAAATATAATAATAATAATAATAATAATAATAATAATAACAATAATAATAAAAGCTTCAGCGTTTTAAGGCATTATATCTAAATTTGAGGAAAACAATTAAAAAAAAGTTGATAGCCTAGTGGAAAGTGGTTGGAATTGTTAGTGGGAGGTTGTGGGTTCGAATCCCATTCTTCTCATTTTTAATGAAAAGCTTCAGCATTTAATACATTATATATAAACTTTAAGGGATAAAATTAAGAAATGGTGTCTAGCCTAGTGGAAAATGTGTTTGGCAGGTGGTGGGTTCGAATCCCACCCGCCACATTTTCTAAATAAAGTCCGATTTTTGCATTTAAAAGCTGATGTGCATGCCACATCAGCCCTTGTCCAGCTGGCATGCCACATGGCATAGTTGACCTGCTCAGCAGGTAAAAAAGGATTAATGTGTAAGGTTTATCCGGTTTCTTGGGTTTTTTTGTTCAAAAAAAAAATTTAGGACTTAAATGTAACTTTTCCCAAAATAATGAGACTTTTCTAAAGATTTCCCTTCTCTTATTATAAAAGTAATACATATCACACGTCTTAAATATGGTTAATTTAATAAATCTTATATGGTATTAGCCTTCTCTCCTTCTTCAATTTCTTTTCTTTTCTAAACCCTAATCCGATATTGGATCCTGCTCATGGTTTCGTCCACTTCTGATGATGGATATATTGTTATTCGCACTTCCAAACCATCTCCCTCTTTTCGAGATCTTCTATCTCATGTTGAAAGTCATGAATTGTTCTTACAGTCCCTTCATGGTTCGTCCACACAACCTACATCTTTTTTCTCTCAACAAACTCGGGCCGGTAACACTATCTCTAGAGGTGGTCGAAATCACAACTTTACACGTGGTGGTGGTCGTGGAAGCTTTAATGGTGGAAGAGGACATGGTGTTCATCGTCCTCCTCACTGTCAGTTATGTAGAATAAATGGACATTATGCTTCTGCATGTCCTAATTTACACACCTATGCGTCTAATGCTTCACTTTCTGATGCAAATCTGGCTCATTATTTCCACTCACAATGCCATGTCACTCATGGAAATCCGGATTGGTATGTCGATTCTGGTGCTACCTCTCACATGACTTCTACACCGAATAACGTCTCTCACACAATTCCAAATACAGGTAATATGCATGTCACTTTTAGTAATGGTCACAAGCTTCCTGTTTCTCAAAGTGGTCAATCCATTCTCCCTAATAAACTGTTACTACGTGATGTTTTGGTCATTCCACATTTAACAAAAAATCTTCTTTCTATTAGCCAACTTACAAAGGATCAACCGGTTGATGTCTTATTTTCTCAACCATTTTTTACTATTCAGGACAGGGTAAGCAAACAAGTGGTAGCACGAGGTCTATGTGAAGATGGATTATACGTGCTCAAGAATGAACCTACAACTTTGACTGCAACTGTTTGTTCTTCAAGAAAATCCTCTTTTGAACTATGGCATGCTAGTTTAGGACACATTTCTTTTGATGTTATTTCTAGTTTACATAGTTGGGTGTTTTATATGTTACTTCTTTGCTTCCAAAATCAGTTATTTGTAAACCGTGTCAACTTTCTAAGGGACAACACTTACCTTTTGAGCTTAATCCTAAACGATCTTTACATCCATTAGATTTAATTCATTGTGATTTATGGGGCCCTGCTCCTGTTGATTCTGGTGGCTATTGCATGTTAACATACTATCCATAGGGAATAATGTCTCTAATTTGCAAGTTGCAAAAGTTGGGAACTGTTTCGCTATACTGGACATAAGGGAGAGGGTACTCATACTTCGTTTCGAATATAGATGTTTAGATTGTGTAGTTTAATAGAACTTAGTCAAATACACATATGAATAGCATGTTGAAATGTTTCGACATTGGATATTCTATATATGGAAAAATTATAGCAAGGAATTGAACAGATTTTCGACCCTTGTAATAATGAGTCAAGTCTCATATGCTTCGGACATAGGATCGATTACATATGTTATACTATTCGATTATTCTGTTTTTTCAAATGCTTCTAGCATTGTGTGAAAAGGATTAGAATTGCATGTGACTGAAGTTGTGAAACAACTGTCAAGAATGTTCTAAGGTTTTACCGAAGAATTGGTTGCTTGTGGATAGTTGGAAGTATGTTGTTATGACGGACCATAATGACATGTTCTAAATTAAGATGATTCTTGGTCGGAATGTTTGTCATATGGTAATATGGAAATGTTTTCATAATGGGAGATGTTTGCAAAATCTACATGTGAGTTGGAAACTTTAATGCAAAGAAGTGTTCAAGGAGAGTACCTTGAATTTGAGATTTCATAACCGTGGAATTGTTTCTAAACAAGTTCCAGTGAAACATTCTATAATATCGGAGGCTTAGTCTCTATGACTTTGGAACCTCGACATCACAGAAAGACAATGCACGTAATGATGAAATTCCATTACATCTTAAATAAGGACAAGAGTTTAGAGTTGTGAAATGAGCATCATTAGGGTAATATTCAGACGATCTCTTCACAAAAGAATGACCATCGAGAGACATAGTATGCATGTTCATAACAAGGCATGACTGATGTTATCTAATTCAAGTGGTTAGTGATGGGTTTTGGGTAAAAAAAATAAACTAGAAAACAATTCCTAAGTTCACATGCAACCTACTTTGGATCTATGTTTTAACTATTGAACATATAATTTTGAATTTCAAAACAAGAACCCTAAGGAGAGAGGCTATTTTCTAAATTAACCAACTAGGGTTTTAGAGTTACATACCTTTCAATTGTTATAGCAAATAATTGGTAATCCTTTGATCTTGATCTTCTTGGAAGCCTAGCACCACAATTGTAATGCCTCTAATGGAATCACACCCAAGAGCTAGCAGGAAGGAAACTTGTGAGGAGAGAGGCTAGGGTATGCAAAAATCGGCCTAGGGTTTCTTCAAGAGAAGGAGTGCCAATTTTGGGAGCCAGGAGGCTCCTTATATAGCTGAGGGATCTAGGGTTTAGGGAAAACCCTAGTGTTCCTTTGCTTGGGGCCTAAGTGTTGGGTTTTGGTATACTACAACATCCTATGGTGCACATACAACCCTAAATACCTTGGATCTA